ATGCTGGCTGGGGAATTCTGGGAGTTGAAGTCCACTCATCTTAAAGTAGCCAAGTTTGGACAACATTGCAATAAATTAAGAAAAACATGTAAGGATCCTGCTCCCATGCCTTAATTTTCCTTAAAAACACAGCATGGGGGCAAAGTTAATTCTCCTCACCATTAGGAAAGATTAGGTATAGCTTGATGGGTAAAATGGCAGCCCCTAAGCAGGGCCCTAGGTAGGGCCTTCAGTCTGAAGAGGCCTGCTTGGCTTGGTGTAGGAAGGAAGAAATCCTTAGTGTGGATGGTTCACCTGCAACTATCAAAGGCCCTAAGTGTCCATGCTCCTTCCCCTTCTTCTCCACTGCCATTCTTTCCCAATATCAATTCATTTTATTAAAAATATATCCATCTGGCTTCTCAACATATGATGAATCACAGAGTTAACTTGTGCTCTGAAAGGCCTAAATGACAAATCATAGAGCTTTTTCATAGCTGCTGCCAAAGGAACTGTTAATAGCACCTTATCATCAGTCAAATGTATAGAACCAGCAATAAGGTTGTGATGGATGGAGAGAAGAATATTATTTATCTGCAAGTATTACCAGAAATCCTGTTTTCACATGTATGGGGAGGGAGATAGTTAAAGCCTTTCCCCCACAGAGTCCTACTCTGATTCTGAATATGCGTGCTAATACCAGGGCTGAAATGTTGACTCACCCATGCTTTAAAGTACTTTGAACTAGAGCCAGAAATTCATCTGGTATAGAAGAGTTACATGTTCTGATCGTTTTGAATCAAATAATATTCTGTACCAGCTGAAATTTCTGAATGGCCTTCAAATCTGAGCATAGTTAGGTTCTGTGATCATTGCTGTCTTTTCTATTTTGAACTTAAGAGAGGCTGAGGTTTGAAAAATCTAAACAGACTACTGGATAAACATATTGCATTAAAATCTGGGGTGGGGTGGGGTGGGGTGGGGGTGGGGGTGATATTTTTAAAAGTATGCACTCTCCAATACAGAATGATATCAATCAACACACCAAGAATTAGTCATTACATCTATTCAGATTTATAGAATATTCCCTCCCATCATATTATTCCAAAAGCCTCAGGAAAAGAACATGATTTTAGATGGAAAAACTGACCCCAATTCATCCATCCAACAACCCACCCATCCATCTAGCTAGTAATCTTTTTTGTTAAAATGCTGCAAGCAAATATTTACAATACCTATTTTGACAACTGCTGTACCATTCAAACAATGACAAAAGGATATATCTAAATTTGTATGGCAAGGGAAAAAACACAAGTTAAATACAAGATGCAAAGGAAAGAGGAGGACTGGATTTATCAGATTTAAAATTGTGTTTTGCAGCTTGTTGTTTGATCTGGATGAAAAATGGATGTTGCCGAGAAACAAGAGACTTTCAGAGTTAGAAGATCATGACCTGAGGTTTGGATGGCATGGATACTTATGGTACGATAAAGTTAAAATTATTGTGGATTTTAAAAATCATTTTATTAGACATGCCATATTGAGAATATGGAATAGATATAAACCCAGGTTGTGCCTGAAAATACCTCTGAGGATCTCAGCACAAGAGGCATTCCATAGAAGAGAAACAGCAGGCAAAGAGAAATGGTTAATGTACCAGGAGTTATTGGAAAGTCATCAATGGGGAATATAAGATTAAATCAAGAGAGCGACTAATAGCAGAAGGATATAGTTGTCAATGGTTTTCCCATTTACAGTTATCGGAAAGATTCAAAATGGATAAAAAGACTTATGGTATGGAGCACAGTAAGACAGAATTTGAAGTACAATTGTGCACCAATGATGAACATGGAATTGCTAAAATGTATAAACTTTTGTTGAAATTTGAAACAGAGGAAAAATAGGTTTAAAAAGGTATGATAAAATGGGCTAAGAATTTTGGTTATAATATACAGATGGATTAATGGGAAAATACATGGTTAAAAGGGTTGAAATTTACCTTATGTTACGAACTTAAGAGAGAATTTAAAAAAAAATATGTACCATTGTTACATGACCCCAGAGAAATTATCTAGAATGTATAAAGGCCTTTCAGATGTATGTTAGAAATGTGAACAACACAAGCATTTTATCATGCTTGGTAATGGTAAGCATGGACATGTAAAAGAGCTAAAAAAAAAATGGATTCAAATACATACATTGATACAGAGGGTTTTAAAGATTAATATTCAATTGAAGCCAGAACCTTTCCTTTTAGGATTGACAAACAGTTAGAAAAAAGCTACGGAAGATTATTTCAATATATGATTACTGCAGCAAGATTATATGGACAAAGATTGAAAGATTTGGCACTACCCACCATGGAGGAATGGTTGGTGAAATTGACAGAACTTGCTGAAGTGGACAAACTGACTTCTTTGATTGGAGAAAGGATAATATTTACATCTACTGGTGACTGAAAATCCCATATGGACTTTTTATGTAAAAATGAAAAAAAAAATCAAAACCTTGTGATTGATGGTTTTGATGATTAGATAGGATAGGAGAGAGTCATGATGTAACTTTAGAGAGAGAGGTTAAAATATAATTGTACTTATAACTGCTG